ACTTACTGTGTGGCTTTCAGGAATGTGCTTCAATGTTCTGGGCCTCAGTGACTTCAGCTGTGAAATGGGCAGACCTAGCTTTGCCCTGCCTGCTCCACTGGAAGGAAAGTCAGAAACTTGGTTAAGCATTTGTATCCCCTTTGAAATGATATTCTCTTCCTCCACATGTGCCTCCCCAGAGGTTGGGGAAGAGGACAGAACATGGTGCAAGGCAGCTCCCTTTTCCCCCTCCCCTCCAAATTCTTCTATCTCCTTGAAAAAAATTGATTTATTGGGCAGCTAGGTGGCACAGTGGATAGAGCACTGGCCCTGGATTCAGGAGAACTTGAGTTCAAATCCAGCCTCAGACACATAACACTTACTAGCTGTGTGACTCTGGGCAAATCACTTAACCCCATGCCTAGCCCCACAAAAAAAAAAAAAAGAAAAAGAAAAATTGATTTATCCAGAAAGGTAGGCACCTAGTGGCTGGAACTCCCTTGGAGAGGCTCAACTACCCTCAGAAGCTCACCCTTGGGGCACCCGGAGATGGATTCTCACAAGGAGTAGTTGTGTTTCAAGGTAGGATGGAGACTCCACGTGGTAGGGGAAACCCTTCAAGGATGAAGATGGTGGTGCAGTGGATAGAGCCCTGGGCCTAGAGTCAGGAAGACTCATCTTCTTGAGTTAGAATCTGGTCTCAGACACTAGCTATGTGACCCTGGGCAAGTCACTTCACCCTGTTTGCCTCAGTTTCCCCATCCATAAAATGGGCTGGAGAAAGAAATGCATCTTTGCCACAAAAAGCCTAAATGGGCCCATAGAGAGTCGGACATGACTGAAACAACTGAACAAGTGTGAGGAAGACCACAGAAAGCACAAAAATTTGGAGCAATGGGACTTGGGGGTCTAGTCCTGGCTCAGTTACTGTCTGCAGGACATTGAAAAAATCATTGTTTTCCTCTAGGCTTCAGTTTCTTCATTTGAAAAATGAGGGATCAGAGTAAATGACCTCTAAGACACTGTTCACTTTAAAAATCCATGATCTTACTGTGCCCACCTCTACTGCAGTTCTCATCATCGCCACAAGAGGCTGCCCCAAAGCTGCTTGGTTTCTCTGGGACCAGCTTTGACTGGCACTGCCCCTATTCCCATAGCCTCTTATGTTTTGGCGGGGGGGGGGGTTGTTTGTTTGTTTTTGTTCTTTTTAGGCAATTGGGATTAAGTGACTTACCCAGGGTCACACAGCTAGTAAGTGTCAAGTGTTTGGTCTGAGGCCGGATTTGAACTCAGGTACTCCTGATTTCAGGGCCGGTGCTCTATCCACTGCGCCACCTAGCTGCCCCCCATAGCCTCTTATGGCAGTGAGCACAGGGTAGCTAGCCCTCTCCTCACCATCTGACATGATTTGTTTCCTTCTGGAAGGGCCCCCAATGGACGTCATTTCCCTCTCACAGGATAGTGGGACGAGGGGAAAGGAAAACAGGTGTGATGAGTTCCCCCCCCCCGTGGAGATCTTTAATAGTTGAAAGACTAGTCAACTGAAGCAAAAATTCTATTATCACTTTACTTTGAAATAAATACTTCCATCCTATCCCTATTTCCTTTGTCTTGTGGATTTGAAAAATACAATGTCCTTGAAGACATTCCTAAATTCAGGTCCTTCTATTCAAGCAGGGGCTGGGTGGCCACTTGTCAGGTGGAAGGGATCTTTTTTCTGGTATGGGTTGGAATAGATGGCTTCTGATGTCCCTGCCAACTCTGTGAAATTCTGTGATCAAAGTCAGAGGACCCGAGTTCAAATCCCATTCTGCTACCTGTGTAGCCTTAGATAAGTTACATCCTTTCTCTGGGCCTGTTTCCTCAGGGGTTTGGATAAGATGGCCCCATTTATCTCTAAATTCCAGAATCCTTGGCATCCCTTCTACATCACTTACCCATCAGACATCTCAGTCCCCTCCACGTGTAAAAAGGGATGGACCTGATGAGCCTTTCTACCTCAAGGTCTCTGGTGTTTAGGCAGCCCTCCAAGTGGACAACTTTTCACCACGAGGACACCCCCAAACACTGTGGAGAGAATACCCAACAGTCCCTATCTCCTTGTGCCCATGTGGAGGGCTCCTGGTTTCCCCTGCCCACAGCTTAAAACCTCACTCTTCTGCTCCCACTAAGGTCCTTGGATAAAGCCTGGAGATCCTGGTCAGTGGAAGGGGGGGGCCTTCTCCACTTTTTCCCCTCATTGAAGCACAGGCTAGTTATCTAAGAAAAATATTCAGAACCCTAGATTGTTGCTTTTGGAGCACTTGAAAAAAGCCCACACCTCTTAAAACAAACAAAACAACTCACCTCCTCAAAACACCTTCCTGAAGGGGCAGAGTTGATGGCTTCCTCCCATCCACCCAGTCCATCCCCTGGACTCCCATGGATTGTGCCCAACTTCTTCCTGGGGTCCACCCTCTCCCTCATCTCCCCACCCAGACTCTGTCCCAAAGAAGTCTATGACCCCAATATTGGCTATTCCTGTTTCCAATTTACTTCTTGCCCAGCTTGCACGAGCGGACAGACATCACTTTGACCTCTAACTCAACACACCTAAAACAGAGCTTAACCTCTGCTCCTTCCTTTTCTGACTCACAGAATGTTGGGGTAGAAGGGACTATGGAGGTCATTTAGTTTGACCTATATATGAGCAGGAACTAGGATATCAACAAGTGGTCATTAAACCTCCCCTTGAAGACCTCCAGCAATGGGGAGCTCACTATAGCTTTTGGACAGCTCTTATTGTTAAGAAAGGGCAGGTGGGTGGTGGAGTAGATAGAGTGCCAGGGCCTGGAGTTAGGAAAACTCCTCTTCCTGAGTTCAAATCCTGACTCTGACACTTACTAGCTGTTTGATCCTGGGCAAGTCACTTAACCTTGTTTGCCTCAGTTTGCCTCATCTGTAATATGAAGTGGAGAAGGAAATGTCAAACCACTCTGGCCAAGGAAACCCCAAATGGGGTCACAGAGTCGGACATGACTGAAAAATGCCTGAACAACAAAATTGTTAAAAGTTTTTTTCTTATATTGAACCCTCACTTGCCTCTTTAACTTTACCCCTGGTTCTCCTCCCAGGACAAACAGAATTAACCTGCTCCTTCTACCCTGGGATGATCCTAGTTTAAGGCAGGGATCCCATCCCTCAGCACATCATGTCTTCTCCAGGCTAACCATCCCGAGTGCCTTCGATCACTCCTGTCTCCTGGGCTTGTCTTCAGCCCTTGCTCACCAATCTGGCTGCCCTCCTTCCAACATGCTTAAACTCGTTCGTGTCCTGCCTAACATTCCATCCTCTGCTTCACTGCATTCCTGTCGCTCCCTCCCTCATCTGGACTATTGAAACAGCTTCCCCACCCTTTCTCCCTGCCTCCAGTCTCTCCTTCAATCCCTCCTGTACACACCGGAAAGTTAATTAATCCTTTTTAAACACAGGGATAATCAGTCACTTCCTTGTCAATGGTTCCCTATTACCTAAAAGTTAGCCATCAAATTTTTAGGGACAAAAGGGACCCAGACCACTAGCAGACAGAGACAGACAAGAAAACACACACACACACACACACACACACACACACACACACACACACACACACACGAAGCCTCTTGACAACCACCCTAGGACTAAGGCATCTTGTTTCTGCTTAAATATTTCCACTGATGGGAAGCCTACTGCCTCATAAGGCAGCTCGTTCATAGATTCTTAGAACTTATTACTGGAAGAGACCTAAAAGGTCACATGGTCCATCCCTCCATTTTACCGATGAGGGAACTGTGGCAGAGAGAAATTAAGGGATTTATTTACTCAAAGTCACCCAGGTAAGAGCATTACATCTTCAACCAGGCTGACAATTTAGAGCCAGGCTCATCACTAGCTCTAACCTGCTTTTCTGGCCTCTGCTCCAGTCCAACCAGCTTCGCCATGTCCTCTAGGGAGAGTACAGTTTACATTCTCTTGCTTCCCATATTTTGCTCCCACTGGGATCTCAAATGTCCTACTCTTCACCTCTACTAGGCTAGATCACAGCCTCCCTTCCTCTGTCCTCAGGTATCTACTCCACAGCCTTCCCAGATGATCACATCCTTCTCCTGAATGCCTACAGGCAAGGACTGTATGTAGACATTAACCTGGCACTTAATTATGTACTTCCTTGGGGCCTGTTGGCCCAAACTAGGCTGTAAGCCCCCAGGGAGCAGGTAACTGGTTTCTGTAGTCCTCCTAGGGCCCAATTATCCCACAGATCTTTCATCAGACTGAGCTCCTTAAGGGTATGTCCTGGGGTAGAATGTCCAGTCCTGAACCAGATGGTTCAGGCCGGCTCTCTAGCCACTGTGCTATCTGGCCTTGTGCCTCTTCAGGCCCAGTCTCAGGAGGTAGTGAACTCCCTGCCAGTGGCAGTATTCAGGCAGACGCTAGAGGACCCTTTGTTGGAGATGTTATAGAAAAGACAATTCAGATCCTATGATCTTCTAGAAAACACAAGGACCGGGCCTTTAAAGTCCTGCCCTCTCCCCTCCGCATGTGACCAGGTGAGGAGGAGCTAACCCCTTCCCCTCTCCCAGACTGTGACCTCAACTGCCCCAGGCAGGGCTAGAGCTAGAAGAATATGGGGGCCAGGGGCATCCTCTGTTTTTAAGAATGACTGGGGGCAGCTAGGTGCTGCAGTGGATAGAGCACCGGCCCTGAAGTCAGGAGGACCTGAATTCAAATCCGGCCTCAGACCAAACAGTTGACACTTACTAGCTGTGTGACCCTGGGCAAGTCACTTAACCCCAATTGCCTAAAAAACAAAAAAAAATGACCGCAAGGTGCCCCAGGGATTCCTTTGCAAGCCTAGCCCTTCCTGGGAAATGAGGAGACTGCTCTGGTGGGCCAGACCTCTGGCTCCAAGCCCAGGACAAAAGGGCCTGGGCTCCTGAGGATCCTTGGAGGGAGACAGGTTGTAGGGCTCAGAATCAAGCAAGGGAAAAGGACTGTGCACAGACTAGAGTTAAGCCTCTTTATTGGCCCTGCCTGGTGAGCCCCTTCTCCACAAGAGCTCAGCTGCCCTTCAGAGGCGTTGGGACACAGCAGGTTAGATCTGCTTGGCAAGGGGTTGGAGGGGCCGGGCCCCAGTTACATAACATTAAGGGAGAAGGGGTGACTAAATAGAGAGGCACCACAGTGAGGAAATATCCCTAGTGCATGCCCTTCCAGGAGAGGCTCACAAGGGCTGGTCAGTGTGGCACTGGGCACAGTGATACATAGCCCTTTGGATTTCCCACTGTGGTTCTGTCCCCCAGCTCACATCAGGATTACAGGGAGGAAAGATTAGCCTGCAGAAGTGGGGCCTCCTGCTTGGCCAGGAATTGTCTTCTTCTGGGGTAAAACAGATGGGAGAAGTAGGGGCAGCCAACATCCTCTGTCCTAAGTGAGAGGCCAAGGCCCTGAGCAATGGAAGGGACCTGAGCAGAAGGGCCATGCCTCTGAGGAGGGGGTGCAGGCGGGGCACCTGCCCCTCCATCTCTTGGCTCTCATGGCAGTTATTAGCCCAAGCCTTCCAATTATACACAGTTTATTACCTGCTCCTGGCACAGAAGGGGAACCAGAGGTTAGAGGGTAGGTGGCGGTGAGGGGAAACCAGGGCCTTTCATTCCCAAAGCCAGGCCCTGTCGTACTGCCTTTGGTGGGGCACCTTGGCCAACACTGGGACTTAGCTAGGCGGCCCTTCTACCCCTCCCCTGAGATAGGGATCTGGAGCTCTGTGGAGGGGATGGGGGAGACAGGAATGAGAAGGAAAGGCCTAAAAACCTGTGGTGGGGCAGAGGCAGGCTGTGTCAAGCTGCAGGGCTTGGTGGGAAAGATCAGGAAGGGAAGGGAAGGATTCTGGCCTTGGAACAACAGCCAGCCCCCTTCCCTGATAGCATCCTGAAAGATCCCACAAGGTGAGAAGAGGTCAGCTGCTCCATTCTGGAGAGTGGGGAGAAGAAGAAGGACCCTGGCTGACTAAAACAGAGCTAGGAGTAACTGACCCCTTCCACAGTCGTCATCTCAGTCTCTTGAGTTTTGGCTGCTACGAACCGTGGCTCCAGTACTTTGGGGAGGGAGTGCTTTCTACAACCAAAGGAGGTAGGAGTCTAGGCCCAGCAGCCAGCTCTGGGAGGACGGGGCAGGGAGTGTGCAGGTCAGGCCCAGTCTCCTTCCAGCTGGGGCCAGGTTTAGGATGCAGCCATCACCGCAGGTTGAAGACAAGGGCAGTAGTGACGATGATGCCCAAGAGGAGGACAAAGGGGAGCCAGGTCTTCACAAATGCCCCAACACTGTAGTAGAGACAGAGAAGAGAAAAAGAATGAGGGACTGGGGTAATAAAGACAGGATGACCCAGGCCCCAAATCAGTGTGATCTTGGGGTCCCGTCTAACCCTTTTAGATTGGTGATGAAGGAAGAAGACTGTTCACAGTAGGCGAAGTGAGACAAAGGAGACTTGGGGAATTCAACACTCTCCCGGACCTCCCCCACAACTCACATAACTCATACCTGTCTCAGACACCAGCTTAGCCAGTGTCTGCAGACTTTGGTGAGGTTTAGCTTCCACAGGGAAGAGCCAGTTTGCACCCAAGTTCTGAGCTGTTATGGGGCAATCCAACAAAAAGTTCTTAGGTGCCTACTAGGGTTCCGGTTCTGGCTCAGCCAAGGCCTTGATGTGTGAGCTAGGCAAGCACAGCCACCCTCTCTGGGCCTTCAGGCCTCCTGCTGTTGGAACTGGAGACTCTAAGAAGAGTCTCCAATAAAGACGCGAGGAAGCACACACCCCAACAGAGAGGTATATACAGTAAGCAAGGGCGAGTGTGTGCACATGTAAGTGTATGCACGCTTGAGCACACTCGAGTACACAAGATACACTTCCTTTCCTCAGCTCAGAAGCTGGCTCCGCTGGACTGGGAGCTAGGGAGCTAGGTTTCCTGAGTATCACCCTCAGGGCCTAGCACAAGGCTTGTAGAGGCCACTGGCTGACATGCATGAGTGAGCCCCACCCCTCTCCTGCCCAGTACTCTCCCTCTGATGATACCAGAGGATGCTGGCCTTACATGAGAGGGCAATGACCACCCCTGGCTCCCTCAGTGACCATTAGACACGTCATACAGGAATGGATCTGAGCTCTGCCAGCCTTACCACCTCGCAGGGCAGGGCAGTGTAGTGGAAAGCTGATCCCATCTGAAATTCCAAGAGCTGAGTGTGAACACTGCCTCTGCCCTCAGTAGTCTGGCGTGACTCTGGACAAGGCCTTCCTCTCTCTGACCCTCCATGTCCTCATACTTGAGGGCTGGGAAGTGCTGAACAAATATGAGCTCTCACTGTCAGGAATACATTTGTACAACTTGCTTCATATGTTAACCATCCCCTGTGCACACTGGCTACAATGGAATCAAAGACAACATCTGCCTTCTAAAGACCCCTCTGAGCTCTAGCTGCCAGACAGCCAAATAAAGCCCCTTCTCTATTGCCTTGGGTGTTGCTGCATCTTAGGGGTGCTTCTGGGGGCTTGGAAATCCTCAGGAGCTAACAATTCCCTTGTCCAGCATCCCCTAGTGTCATCAGAGGGAGAGGACATGTCTTCATCATGGCACTTTCCTTGACACAGCCCAGAGAAGACAGAAACAGAAGCCTCACTGCCCTTGTTTTATGAGCAAGGACACAGGTAAAGTGATTTCCCAAGGTCACTCAGCTAATTCTAACCATACTAACTGTTGACCAACAGTTCAGGCACAACCAGAACTTACAGAGCCTTCCCACACTCTAGCCCATAGCTGAGAGGCCTTATGCCCTGGGGGCTTGGGCAGAGGCTCTGCCCACAGGTACACCCTGAAGCTGCCTGGCCCAGTCTCACCTGACATACTTCCCATAGATCAGGCAGAAGAAGCAGACCTTCACCATGTTCCAGTGGGAGCTGTTGTTGTAACGCATCAGATTCAGGGCCAGGGCCACATGGGAGTGGCAGTTGTCACAGCAGAGATTATGCTGCAGGAGTGAGGGACAGCAGGCATTAGGTGCCAGCCTTGCGGATGCACAGGAAGTCCAAGCCGCCACCGCTCCCCTCCTGCCCCACCTACCATGCGATGTTTATACTCCTCGGATGCCTCGTGGACCGCAGTATCCCAGGCGTTCGGCCGGCTGGCGTGTACTTTGGAGGGGTCCAACTTCCAGTACCTGAGGGGAAAAGGAGCCATGGGGCCCCAGTGTCTCAAAGGCTGATTTTACCTCTTCTTCACTCTGCCCAGCTCAGGGCTTGCACCTAGGATTGGGTTTTTTTTGGCTAGGCAATGGGGTTAAGTGACTTGCCCAGGGTCACACAGCTACTAAGTGTTATGTGTCTAAGGCCGGATTTGAACTCAGGTCCTCCTGAATCCAGGGCCGCTGCTCTATCCACTGCGCCACCTAGCTGCCCCTGGGATTGGGTTTTTGAGAGAAGGGCATCCCTGCCTCACCTGCCCCTCCAAAGGCCAGTGTGAATCAGGACAGGCCTGATGCCATGACTCTGGTCCCATGGAGATGGCGGACTAAGGCCCCTGACTAGCCTTTAGTGACTAGGGCTGAGTGGGGGACACATACTCCATGGGCTGGGCTGCTACACTAATTCTCTCTCAAGGAGCCCTAGAACCTCCATTCTAAGGCCATAGTCCAGCCTGATCCCCTTCCAAAGCCAAGTCAGCTTCACTCGGGGGCAGGTAAGCCACACTGGGCCCTAGCACTGAACAGCACAACATAGTCCCATGGCTCCCACTGTTAGGGACCGGACCTTATTTGTAAATAGTGTGCCTCAGGATGGCATTTCCACGCAATCTACCATAAGAGAGGTCAGCTATGGAGAACTGAAAATGCTAACACAAACCGCGCACGGGCACTGAAGCTGGTTTTGTCACCTCGGGACAGATCAGCTTTGCTACAGATCCCAGGCTCCTCGTGGGAACTCTGAGAACACAGCCCTCGCTGGCCTGCTCGCCTCGCCTGCCCACTTCTAGCTGTTTCCGTGTAGTTCCATCCTCTCAAGCTTAGTAAAGCCATGGGTAGAAACAGCACTTCCCCTGATGAATAAGGGAGGCAAAAGTTAACCCAGGGACCAGAGAAACAGCAGAGCTCCAGGGGAGGCCTCTAGCATGGCAGCAGGCAGGGAATGGAGGCTGCTGCTACTGCTGCAGATGTGGCTCCCTGCTTTGGGGGGCAGACACACCTCGGGCCCCCTTTGTCTTCCCTGCAGGGGCATATGAGGTTCACCCATCCTCCAAGGTAAGTTTTTAATAACTTACTTCACAGGCTTCCCAAAGGCCATATTGTCTTCCTGTGGGGAAAGAAGAGAAAATCCTATGTTCAAATGTCATGGTAGGCCAAGAGGGGACTGGCTGGCTCAGTGCCCTGGCCTGTGGCCATCAGGAAGGAAGACATCCCAGGCCTGGTGCCACAGTGGAAGGTCAGGGCCTAAGGGGAAGGGAAGAAACCCCAAAGGGCAAGAGCGGCATGTGTACAGTGAATGAATCATAGTCCAGCCCCCTCCCTAAGGCAACTAACACTGTCACCTGGGTCTGACTATAGAGAAGGAGTATAAAGGGTCAGCCTAGGCCTCCTATCAAGGAGTACAGAGCTACGGGGAGGAGGGGAAGGCTGATCACTATTCCTTTCCCCTCAAGTGGAAAAGAAAATGGGGCTGGGGTCCTGAGGGAGACGAGGTGACTAGAGCTAAGAATGCCTACAAGGGCCCAAGAGAGAACGGGGAGGGGAACTCCTTTGTAATATTTCATGGCAGAAGACCCAAGGGCAATTTTCTGGGACCCTCAGGGAAGCCCTACTGAGAGCTGTGTTTTTCTTCTTTTCCTTGTCTTTGTTGGCAGGACAAATCCTTTCACAATTCAAAGGTGGGAGTTACTGGGAGACAGATTCCAGCTCACAAAAGAGAAAAACTTTCTGATGGTGGAATGGTCTGCCCTACAATGGAGAGCCTCCTGGCAGTCAGTTTCTGGGCAGAGGCATGTGGGTACCTGCTGGATGCCCTGCTGAGGAAATTTCTTATAAAGAGCAGGAAGTTGTGCTAGAGAAATCTGAGATCTCTTCTAGGCCTAATCAGAGGATCCTGTCATTCTGGCCAGCAACTTAATTCTAGCTCTCTAGTGGACCAAAGAAAAAAAGAATCCTGGCTGAAAGCATTTTTAAGAGTGGCAAAGTAGGAAGGCAGGGAGACCAGTATCTAGTGTCCCCAAGAGGAAAGAAGGTGTCTTAGTTATCTGGCCTGAGATCAAAATGACCAGTTACTATGGATATGGAGATGTCCTGGGAGGGGTCCCGGCACCACATGTGCCCATAGGCACCACCACTCCGAAGATGAGCCATTCTTCGGCTGATGGAGGAGCTGGTGGGGGGAGGGGAGAGCAAGGCTCTTTCAAAGGCTACTCCCATGCCCCTTCCCTCACCACCACTCTACTGAAGCTGAATGGCTGCTAGGACCAATGGTCAATGCAGTTTGACCAGTGACATGATGCCATATGATCTTCTAAATGAATCAGACTCACGCTGGTAAGTGTGCCTCCTCCTGGTGAGATGTAAGAAGACTGTTATTCTCAGGAGTCTTGAGACCCCTGTTCTGGACGGCCATATGCTAGTCTTCTTCTCAGACCTACATCTAAAGGATGATTTCCCCCAACACCCCCCACTCCATGATCTCATCACCTCTACTTTTCGGAGTTAGGAAAAGTGAGACATGGAGGAATGATTACCTGGAATTCTAATTCTGCAAGTTGGGAAGGGAAGGAAAGGGAAGGGAGAGATCACTGTGCGGTCAGGACACATTTAACACTTTTCTCAAGAACTTATTTTCCATACCCTTCATTAGCATCAAGTGCCTTGTAACTGGCTATTTTTTCGTGTCTGCATTCCCTGCTGTGAAGGGAGCCCTAAAGGTGACCGAGATGACTGTTCAGGGAAAGTGCTGGTCCACAGATGAGGATGACAGCTGCTGAAATAATTGCTGCCCAGTGGTACTGGCCACTCTGACTCTCCTGGACAATGCCTTTGGGACAAGAAGTGCTGGTGCTAGTATCAGAACAACGGAGATGGAAAGAAATAAATACACCACCTGCTAATTGCAGGCTTTGCTGCATCTTTGTGACCGGAAGTCTGGGGTGGATGAAAAGACAGCCAACCACAGCGATCAGCTGCTTTAGAAGTGGATCTCTGTGCACTCCAGAGATCAAGGTCTGGGGACTCACCGAGACATAGTAGGGGCCTGCGAAGTCCCGAATGATGCCCGTGGAAGTACAGATGCCCATGTGGCCAATAATGGGGAAAACCCACCTGCAAGACAAAGGTTCAATTCAATTCAACAAACATTGATTAAGGGTTCATGGGGTACAAGACACAGTGCGGGGACACCAAGTCAAAGACGTAAGATCTTCCAAGAGTCTAAGAGGGAGTGGGAGTGAGAGTGGGGGAGGGGGTGGTGAGATGCAGTGTGTACAGAGAGTGCTATACAAGGTATTTTAAAGGGGCAGAGTGGAGTAACAACAAAAGGAATCAAGGAAGGGCACCAGAGCTGGGCCTGCAATGGGAGGGCTCTTTAAAGAGTCTCTTAACTGACGCTGGCTGAAATGAGCAGAACCAGGAGATCACGGTGCACAGTACCCATCACATGGTTCAATGACGGACTTTGGTAGACTTGGTTCTTCTCAGCAATGCAAGGCTCTAAGACAACACCGAAAGACTCAGGATGGAAAATGCTGTCCACACCCAGAGAAAGAACAATGGAGGCTGAATGCAGACCAAAGCATGCTATTTGCTCTCCTTTTTTGTGGTTGTTTTGTTTCTTCTTTCTAGTGGGTCCTCCCATTGGTTCTAATTCCTCTTAAATCACGACTAATGTGAAAATATGTTTAATATGCATCTATATAAGTAGAGCCTATATCACACTGCATGCCTTCTTGGGGAGAGGGAAGAGGAGGGAAGGGGAGAAAACTGAAAACTCTAAAGCTTATGGAAGTGAATGTTGAATAAATAAATTAATTTTTTTAAAAAAAGAGTCTCTTAGCTTATCTCCCCCTTCCAATATCACATTCAACCCCAGAAGGACACAGTGTATAGGAAAGAGCAATAAATTCAACACTGGGTGACACAGGGGCAGCAAGGTGGCGCAGTGAATAGAGCACCGGCCCTGAAGTCAGGAGGACCTGAGTTCAAATCCAGCCTCAGACCAAACACTTGACACTTACTAGCTGTGTGACCCTGGGCAAATCACTTAACCCCAACTGCCTAAAAATTAAAAACAAAACAAAACAAAACACTGGGTGACACAGATTCCAATTCTGGCCCCACTTAGCTGTGGGATCTTAGAAGTCACTTCCCCCTGTGAGTCTCAGTTTCTTCATCTGTAAAATGAGGATAACTCACCAGACTGTTGTGAGGAAACTACAACCAATCGTGAAGCACCTCAGATATGCCTTCCCTGAGGCCAGGCCTTGTGCCAAGTGCTAGGGGTACAGAGGCAAAGGGAAACAGCCCCTGTCCTAAAGGGTAAGACAACATGTGCATCCCTAAGTACGTAGAGGAGACACAAAATGAAGACATGGAAGTTTGGGGAAGGAGGGTGCTAGTTGTGGGGGACGATGAGGAGGCTCCCTGGAGAAGAGGGTGCACTCTAGGGACGGGACAACCATGCAAAGGTATAGAAACGAGACATGCAGCGTCCTGTGTGTGTGGAACAGGAAAAGGATCATTGCAGGGTGAAGGAGGCCATAATGTGTAAGACGGATCAGGTGGAGCAGAGATATGAATACCAAAGGACTTTATATCTGATCCTACAGGCAACACAGGCAGCTAGGTGGCACCATAGTGCATACAGCACTGGGACTCTTCCTGAGTTCAAATCTGGCCTCAGACACTTCCTCGCTGGGTGACCCTGGGCAAGTCACTTCACCCTGTTTGTCTCAGTTTCCTCATCTGTAAAATAAGCTGGAGAAGGAAATGACAAATCACTCCAATATCTTTGCCAAGAAAACCCCAAATGAGGTCACAAGCAATCAAACACCATGAAATGACTCAACAACAAAAGAGTAATGCAGGGTGCCAGTGGAAGTTTACAAGTCTGTGCTTTGACAGCTACGTGGAAGATGGATTAAAGTGGGGAAAGGCCTAAGGCAGGAAGACCAGGTAGGAGGCGACTGCAATAACGCAGCTAAGAGGTGATGAGGCTGGAGTGGGGGGGGGGGACGATGTGAGAGGTGCTGTGAAGACAGAAAAGATACGAGATGGCAACCGATCTGTTGGGTAGGATGAGTGAGAGCAAGGGACCAAGGACGCCACTGAAGTTAGGAGCCTAGAGAACCGGAAGGATTGCAGTGTCCTCAAGAGTAATGGGAGGGCAGTGTTCTAGAGCAGAGACAACGAGTTGTTCTGAACATGTTTGAACACGCTGAGATGTCCATGAACTGGTCCATCCATAGGCAGTTTATGATATGGGCCCAAGTCCCTGAGACAGGCTAGGACTAGATACAGAGTTCTGGAAGTCATCGGCATAGAGATGGTCATTGAAGCCATGGAGTGGATGAGATCACCAAGTGACTTTGAAGACTTTAAAACATTTGATCCCTGAGTTATTATTCCCAAAGCTCTGTTTTCATTGCATCATTCTCTTGTCCAAAGACCTCCAATAGCTTCCCCCTCCCTAAACGCCTCAGCCTGGCTTTCAGGAAGGCCCTCCACAATCTGGTACCTTACTAGTCTCCCCTCTCACTACTCTTCCACATGGAGCTGGCACTCTCACCAGACTGGTCAATTCATGGTCCTGAGAACCACGCCTATGTATTCCCATCTATCTACCTTTGTCAACACTATAAACCCAGAGAGGCAGCATGTTATAGTAAAAAGAGAAACGGTCACACAGCTTAGTGTCTGTGACCGAATGTGAACCCAGGTCTTCCTGGGATCTCCACGTTGGCAGGAACCTCCAAAGTCCATCTAACCAAGACTACCTTTTATGATAGACTGAACAACCAACCATTCCCCCTTTGCCTGAAGACCAGCACTGAGGGGCCCACTCCTGCCTCAGGCGACTCATTCCACTTCTGGATTCTCTTTCAGGAGGAACCAAGGGCAAGACTGGACGAAGGCTTGACCAAGACACTGCAGCAGCTCAGCTGGAAAGGACTTCAATACTTCGAGGAATTTCACTCCCTCACTGTAGATGAGGAACCAGAAGCTTAGAAAGGGAAAGAGACTTGCCCACCTTTTGCCACCTTGAGAAGTGGAAGAGCTGGACCTAAACCAGAGGTCTCTGGATCCCTACTCCGGGGCATCCAGGGCATCGCTGGTGAGTTAGACTCAGGCAGGGACTGAAAATGGGGTAGAGGAGAAAGGAACTAGGCATTGGGGTTGGTGTGGGAAGGGACAGAGTTCCTCAAAGAGTTAGAGATGCCCAGAAGACAAAGCTGGTCTCTGCTCAAGGAGCTGCTCATGTGGAGAGTACAGTCCCAAATCTCCCACTTCCCTAGGGAAGGGTAGTGAAAGGGCGGGTGCTGTCCCTTTGTCCAGGCTGGGATTCTGGGATCCCAAAGGGACCCAAGGAAGGGAATGGGGACGAGGGCAACAAATGGGCCCTTGAGCTTACGATGGCAGGCCCCAAGAAGGGAGTTCAAGAGGGGAGATGAAAGGACTAGAGAACAGCCAGAGCACCTGGCATAGAGGTGGGGAAGTGGAGGGAGGGGACAGGGAGGAAGACAGGGGCAAGGAGGACTAGGCTGGGGGAGTCTGAAGACAGGAATAGGGAGCTGGAGGGTACAGCCAGGGGTCAGGAAATCATAGGTAGGGGGATGGGATGAGGCTCGAAGGCTGGGAACCAAATGGCACCGAGGTAGTGCTTTAGACGGGTCCGAAGCGCTGATTTAGAGCTTCTCATCTCCCTTCTACAACACGTGCCACGGGTATCATTACCCCCATTTTGCAAATGAACAGATGCCCAGAGAGGTTAATGGAACTTCCCAAGGTCAAGCGGCCACTAAGTGTCAGAAGCTGGATTCAAACCCAGCCCTCTCCTCCCTCTCGCCCCTTTTTCACCTACAAGGGGCTAGGCTAGGGGTAGGGCCATCACGGCGTGAGGGCCGCGCCTCCCTCACGGAGTATAGTGGGGCGAGGCTCTAAGGGGGAGGAGCCACATATGTTTAAAGCTCCTCGGGGTTCAGAGCTCGGACCGGTGACCCGGGAAGGGCGGAGCCGCTGGCGACTCTACGGACAGGTGGGGCGGGGCCGGGCTCTTGAGCCGCTCCCAGAGGCGGGCCAAGGGGCGGAGCTAACCTTCCCAGGGGGCTGAGGGATGACATGGGGCGGAACCAGCAGCCAGAGCGTCTCAGAGGGCGGGCGAAAGGGCGGGGCCAGCCTCACTAGTGGCTGAGGGCCGGCGAGGGGGCGGAGCCCTGAAAACTAGTGGGAGAGGCCCGAGAGCAGTTAAGGGGGCGGGGCCAGCCTAAACAGGAGGCAGAGGGCTGGCGGGTGGAGGGAGCTCTGAGGGCAGGCGGAAGGTGGACGGGACCCAACCTCTCGACGGGATGCGGTCTGCTTCCGCGAGGGGCTGGTCTGGCGAGGGGCGGCGCTCATGGGGCGGACGACAGGGCGGGGCTGGTGGCGGGGGGCGGGGCCGGGAGCTCCGCACTCCGGAGCAGGAATATAGCTGAGGGGGCGGGGAGGGTCTGAGGGGTCATAGACTCACGTGAGCAAGGGAATGGGCGTCCACACCACGCAGTAGGGGAAGCGGCTGCGCTCCACATCCATGCCTACGACTGCGCCGCTGCCACCACCGCCGCTTCCACGGAACTGCTTCATCGCTGCTTGGTCCGCCGCCTCCACTTCCGCCATCCCCTGAGGGGGCATTGGCGGCAGCAGTAGGGAGCATCCTTCCGCTTCCGCCTCTGCCATGGCTCCTGCTACCTCCGGTCGCCCGGAGCCCTTCTGTTCTGCGTCACTTCCTGGAGCTCATGTTCCCTTCTTAACCGTCCCCCCCTTTCCCCCGGAACAGGAGTCTCGCCTCTTGGGGCCTATGCCAGACCTCGCCTCCCTTCGTGGGTAGGCCACCGAGGAGCCCGCGAAGAGGAACTGACTGGGCCACACGACAAGAAGATGTGGCAGCCAAGAAAGCAAGCCCAGTCTGCACGCAGCAGCCCAATTCACTGGCAGAAGCGACCACGTCATTCCCCAGCTCAAGAAACTACAGTGGCTCCCTATTGCCTTTGGGACAAAATAAACTCCTCTTAGTCAGCAAGCATTTGTTAGGAAAACACTGTGGCCAGGATTCCCGCCGCCATCGCTTCTCACCTCCATTTCTTCATTTGCTTCTTCCCACCTAGAGGCAGCAAGCAGTGGTTAGAGCCCTGGACCTCAAGTCAGGAAGGCCTGGAGTTCAAAGCGAACCGCAGACGCTTCGCCCCCTCTTAGGGTTGTCGTGAAGATCAAATGAGATAATCATAGTGAAGTGCTGACTCCTCAGCTGCCTTCCCCTTTCCCTTTCAAATGACCATCCATCAACTTTGTTTAGATCTTGTACATATCTTGTTCGCTTCAGGGCAAAGACTCTGTTTTTTTTGGTCTGTGTTTTCGTTTTTGTTTTTGTATCCCCATCGCTAAGTACACTGCCGCGAGAAGGCCCTTATAAATGTTTATTGACTGACTCACCGACTGCCAGGAATGCTTTCTTTCCTCTCCTTTGCCTTTTGGAATCCTCTGCTCAACCAGCTATTAACTGTGACTAACTACTTCCTATGGGCCAGGCACTGTGCACACAAATACAAGGTATAAAACTATCTTTGCTCCCGTAGAGCTTGTATTTTAAAGAGAGAGACATAAGTGCATATATGAGTGTTAAGGAGGGACCTGTGATGCTGAAGGAAGGTGGAGCAAACCACACAACTGCTCTGCCTGGGTCCACCACAAATGTCTGGTACACACCTCACTTTTGCTGGGCAGTCCCACCATACCTCCCTGATCACTCACTGTCCCACTCTGCACAGCAGCTCTTCCAAACCTTTTCATCCCTCCTCAGACCTCTCATGGTTCCTCCTCCCCCCACCACTGAGAACCTTGCCTCAAATTTTACAGAAAACATTCCGTTTCCTGTGAACTCCCTCTTCCTCATCTCCCATCATTCAGATGCCTTGGGCCACCCTCCCCCTTTGCCCCTGTCTCACGTGGCCCTCTCTCCTTACCAAGGCTCAGTAATCCCATTCCATCCTATCTCCAATAAGTTGCCCCCTCTGTCATCCCCAGTCTATCACTTATGTGCAATCTGTCCCTGAACACTGGCTCATTCTCCACTTCAATAAGCACGCCCATGCATCTCCTAACTCTCCACTTGATCCTCACTATCCTCCTATCTCTCTTCTGCCCTTGGTAGCTAAACTCAGAAAGGCCATCTACAATAGGTATCTCTACCTACTTTCCTCTCACTCTCTTCTTAAGCCCTTACAATCTGGCTTTTGACTGTATCATTTCACTGACACTGCTCCCTCCAAAGTTACCAGTGATTCCCAGCACCAAATCCAATAGCATTTCCTCAATCCCCACTGTCCTTGACCTCTCTGCAGCCTTTGACACTTGATCACTCTGTCCTCCTTGATACTCTTCTCTCTCTGGTTTTCAGGATACCAGTCTCTCTAGTTCACCTCCTATCTATCTGACCACTCCTTCTCTGGCTCCTTTGCCGGAACCTCCTCCAAATCACACCCCTAAACACAGGTGTCACTCACCAGGTTCTGTCCTTGGCCCTCTTCTCTTCTCCTTCTATACTACTTCAACTTGGAGATCTCATCCACTCCCCTGGGTTTAATTACTATCTCTAGGCTGATAATTTTCAAATCTCCCTGTCTTTGCCCCAAACTCTCTGCCACCTTCCAGTCTTGCCTCTCCAAGGCCTTTCCAACGTCTCAAACTGAATGTCCAGTAGCCATCTTAAACTCATTATGTCCAAAACAGAACTCTTTATCTTTCCCACAAAAAAATCCTCCCCGCATCCTACCTTCCCTATTACTGAAGAGGGCAACACCATCTTCCAAAGCCCTCAGGCTCCCAACTAGGTGTCATCCTGGATTCCTCACTCTCTCTCGCCCCCCACGTCCAAGCTGTTTCCAAGGCCTGTTGATTTCACCTTTGCAACTTCTCTCCTACCCCCCCACCTCCACTCCAACGCTGCCATCACTCTGATGCAGCCCCTCACCCCTGCCCGATAGCCTGCTGGTGGTCTGCCTGCCTCAGATCTCTCCCCATGCCAATCCATCCTTCATTCAGCCACCAAACTGGCTTATCAGGTCACCCTCCTACTAATACACTGCTCTGTTTTCCATTCAAATCCCTTCTAACCTGGCCTTCTCCAAACTTTCCAGGCTTCTTGTGCCTCACTCCCAATAGGTACTCTTTGATCCAGTGACATTGGCCTCCTGGCTGTTTATGAACAAGACACTCATCTCTCTGCTCAGGAAGTTTTCCCTGGCTGTTCCCCATATCTGGAATGCTCTCCCTTCTCTGGCTTTCTTTAAATCCCAATTTAAATCTCACCTTCTACCGGAAGCCTGCGTTCACACCTCTTAATTCCAGTGCTTTCCCTCTCTTAATTATCCCTTATTTATCCTGTATATAGCTGGTATATCTTGTATATAGCTTTATATATTTGTCTGCGTGTTGTCTCCCCCATTAGACTGTAAGCTCCTTGAAGGCAGGGGCTATCTTTTGCCTCTTTTCGTAGCACAGGGCCTGGTACATTGTAGGTGTTTAATAAATGTTTATTGAATTGAAAGCACACTAGTGGGAGTTCTTGAGTTATAAGCACTAGAATGATATCTCCCAACTCTTTAGGGTTACCCCCAGAATCTTGAGAGGACATCATAGCAGCTATACTCAGGGACCCAGGTTGCCAATATTAGTGCCAATGTTAGTGGGCTTGGGAGAGTATTTCCAGAGCATTTGCTTCATAAGTCTATTCAGAAGAAATAAAAAAGAGAATAGGTACAAAGTAGTTTGACAGCAGAGGCTTCATGTAAAAGGTGGTGACTGAGAAGCCTCTATGAAGTAGAGGTGAAGAGGGAGGGTGTTCCAGGCCTGGGCAGGGAACTTGAAAAGGCCAATGTGACTGGATTTGAGTGTGGACAGGAGAGGAATATACATCAAGGCTGGAAGGACAGAGAGGGACAAGGTTGTGAAGGGTTTTAAAGGTTGAACACAAGTATTTATACTTAATCCTTGAAGTAATAGGAGCCACTGGAATTTATTGCGTAGGGAAGTGACATGGTCAGATTTATGCTTAAGGAAAAGTACTCTGGAAGGCATGTGGAGGACCAACTTAAGTGAGGAGGATTTGGAGGCAAAAAGACCAAATAGGAGGCCCTTGAAATCATCTAGGTGGGCCTGAGCTGAGGAGCAGCTGTGGGAATAGAGAGTAGAAGGCTAATTCCTAAACCCTACAAGAGGCCTTTCCTAATTGCCCCTTCCCCTCAGTTCTTCATTCTCCTCAGTCCACAACCCCAAAATCATTTTTAATTTACTTTGAAAATTATCATCTGTATATCTGTTGTATCTCTATCCCCAGCCTCCCTTCCCCCATGTTTGTAAGTGGCAGCATAGTGCCTTGTATATAGGAGTCCTTTAATAAATATTCTTTGGATTGAATCTTTTTTTTTTTTTTTGAGGCAGTTGAGGTTAAGTGACTTGTCCGGGATATAACAGCTAGTGAATGTCTAAGGCTAAGATTTCAATTCCGATTCTCATGACTCTGGGGCCTATACACTATCCACTAGCTGCCCCCATTCAATTGAATTTTAGACCACATTCAGAGACAGGACTGAAGTCCAAAATGAGGAAAGTGATTGTCCCTCTGTGCTCAGCCCTGGTCAGACCACATCCTGAGTACTATGGTCAGTTCTAGGCATTCCATTTTAGGAAGGATGCTGATAAGGGAAGGAGAACAAGCATTTGTTAAGCACCTACTATGTGCCAGGCACTGGGCTGAGTGTTTTTTACAAATATTATCTCATTTGATTCTCCTTGGGAGGTAGATGTCATGATTATCCCCCTTTTACAGATGAGGAAACTGAGGCAGAAGTGGAGGACTTACCCGGGGTCACACAGGCCAGGCCTAGATCTCTATCCATTGTACCACCTAGCTGCTCAGGTAAGCTGAAAATCATTCAGAGAAAGAGGACCAGGAAGATAAAAGGTTCATGCCATATGAAGAAAATCTGAGGGAAGAGAGAGAAGATATGACTTGAGGTGGGGGGAGCAGGTTATGAGTGACAGTCAGTATTTGAAGGGCAGACCCAGGGAAGAAAGATTTAACTGCTCTGCTTGGCCCCAGTGAGCAGAATTAGGAGCAACAGGAATGGTACGAGGAGTAGACATTGCCGAGATGAAGACTTGGGCTTGATGTGAGGAGCATTTTTTTAATAATTAAAGGTAACCCTTGGCAGAATGGTCTGCTTGTCTGGGGGGGGGGAGGAGCAGAAGAGGGAGGAGAAAGGAGGGAATATTTTCCTTCTTACCAAAGACCACCTTCCATTTGCAGGATATATATCTTATATGTAAATAATGATTTGTCTCCCCCTCCTTAAGACTGTGAGAGCAGCTAGGTGGTGCCATAGTGCATAGAGCACCCAGCCTGGAGTCAGAAAGACTCCTCTTCCTGAGTTAAAATCTGGCCTCAGACATTTTCTAGTTGTGTGACCCTGAGCAAGTCACTTAACCCTGTTTGCTTCAGTTTCCTCATGTGTAAAATGAGCTGGAGAAGGAAATGGCAAACAACCCTAGTATCCTTGCCAATGACAGAAATTATTATTTTCCTCTTCTATTAATAATGAATTATTAATTAAGATTAAGCTTTTCCCTTTCTATTTCCTCATTCAGAAACCAACCCTGTAAGTTATTCAGCCAGCCTCTGAAGGACACTGCTGATAGATGAGATTGCCCAAATCCTCAGGGTACATGCTTTTGAATTTTGGGTGGGAACCCACCCAACTAGAAGACCTTACAAACAAAATCCAGT